ATCGCAAATACAAGGGTTGTTGAAACGTACCTGTTCGCCAGGTAGGGAGAATATACGTTTTCTTCTCGTATGCCACTCGTGAAAATATCTCCTTCCCCCGTCACTCGATGAGAGAAACATGAAAGTTCACTCGACAAATGAAACATTCTCTATAACCTACCCCGACAGTTACTATTACCAATCACTGGTTCGTTTGGTCCAGTCTATTTTCCTAAAGTCATCTCCCCAAGGCATTTGTGTCTACTTGCCTATATCACACTGTAGTTTTCAACGGACTTTTATATAGGCTAGATGCCAATGGTATGATTTGGAGAGTAAAACTTCACTCGTTACAATGGCTGAATGAGTTTATGTCTTCAGCTATGTAACGACTGAATGTAATTCACCGAGTCCAGACACACAGCACTGTAAGAGTTGAGCTCAGCTGGACTACGCTCACACACGACCATTGTGACCGTCCGATCCCCACTTGGTTCTACTGACAAGCAAACATCCCGTGTTGACGTAATAATGTAAGTGTAATAAATAGTTCTCAAGGTATAAAGACTTGGCGGCGTTTAGTAAAGGAATTTCTTAAACTTAAAACTGCAAAACACAATTTTCCCCCAATTATATTTGGGGATAGGTTGTATGATAATTCAATAGATATAGCTAATATTCTCAATAACTTCTTTGTGGACCAATCTCGCATATGTAATCCTGATATGCACCTTCCACCCGTAGAATAAGATAAAATTGATAATCTATTAGTAAATATTATTTTGATGGAAGATGAAGTTAGGGACAAAATTTCAGAATGGGCTGCTAGATGGCACGTTAAATTTAGTCCCGATAAAACTGAATCTGTTCAATTTACTTGTAATGTAAAACCAAGTCTCAAACCTAACTTATATATGAATGGTACAGAAATAAAAGATGTACTAAGTTATAAGCACCCAGGTTATACTATACAAAGTAATTGTACATTGAAAATGCACATTGATCATGTTGCAAGGAAATGTTGTCCTCTGGTTAATTGTTTAAGAAGTTATAAATATTGTCTATCCCGAACTACCTTCGAAACTATGTAGAAATCATTCATTTTACCAATTTTTTATTATTGTTGTCATATTTGGGACAACTGTACTAATGAACAAGCTAGTTTATTGGAAAAGAATTACTCTTAAAACCAAATGTGGCGCTGTCCGGGGTACGAGCCATCAGAAGATCCACAATGAAACAAATTGTAAGTCGTTAAAAGACAGAAAATACAATTCAAAATTGTAATGTTTTACAAAATGAATAATCATTTCTCCCCGGAATATCTTTGAAGGCTTATTCCTAATACAGTTTCGGGAAAAACAAATTATAACTTAAGTACGGTGGCCCATAAGGGACATTGAGTCTGTTTTTCAATATTTTGATATTTCACTTACTGTTATCGTGACCTTTTGCAAATTAAAACGATTTGACATTCACATATGTGATAAATCATGTATACAGAAGATATTGAATCGCTGAAAAGTGAAGCGAAATGTCAAAAACTAAAATGAAAATGTCAAAAACAAAAACGAAAAGGTCAAAAACTAAAATGAAAATGTCAAAAACATAAACGAAAATGAAAATACAGAAAACTATTTTCACCGCGGTGGAAATAGTTTTCTGTATTTTCATTTTTGTAATGGGTAATGTCTCACATGTAATGGATCGGTATTAACATAAGCGATTCGCTTGTTTACCAATCCATTTTCACAATTTTTGTGAAAATAAATATGTTTAAATCATGTAGACGTTTGTGTTCTAGGGAGTTTCTCGCATCAACAACACAAGTCCTACTGAGCGTCCACACCTTTTACTTAAACTCCACTCAGTTGACAGGTCTCTTTCTTAGTGACGAAAACAGTCAGCTTCCTGCATTACCTAGGCATCCATGGTCAGTCCCACAGTCGCAATCCCCAATACCTTATCTAACTGATCTATGTCTCAAATACATGTAGTCAGGTCTGCATCAGCAAGCCCTGTGCACCTGGTCAGTAGTCATTCTAATAATTCTCATCATAACTTATTTGGCTCTTTAATGGTCTACGTTCATTTTCAGAAAATATTTAGACACGTCCTTGCTCCCAATGTCTGTGTATTTTTTTTACATTTGTCTCAACTGACCAGGATAGCACTTTTGGGTATGTTTCGGGTTATCTGGTTTTGCACCAGCGGTCTGTTTACCTTACTCCATATGTTGATATATCGAGGATATTTAATGTGTTTTCTCAAATACCACTTTTATCTCATCGAGTGAAGTGGGGAGAGTCTGATATTTTCACGAGTGACGCAGTGAAAATATTAGACTCTCCCCACTTCACGAGATGAGATAAAAGTGGTATTTGAGAAAACACATTGAATTTTCTATTTATTATATACATGTTTTATTTTTATTACTTGCAATTTATATATTTTTTCGAAAACAGTGTCTGATAAATTACTAAGTTCTCCCTGTCGCCCCTTTACCACCGCCGTATAAAGGGGGTTTGCGAAAAGAATATAGTTCGTGAATAAAACTAACCCTGTTAATATATGTTATGCGAAATATATTATTTCATATCGAGTATTAAGTTCCGTGGACATTTTTGTTTGTCATAATTAAACATTCCTGTTTGAAATGAAAACAGAAATCATTTTCAAACAGCGATTATTTTATTGGCGTAGGAATACATAAACAGTTAGTACTGTGACCATGTCGAACGATCAGCTGAGAGTTCTCCAGGCCTACAAAATCCGCCATATTTGATCAAATTTTCTCACAGATAAGTATGAAAGTTGACATAAACACATTTATTGACCCCGAACATTTTAACTGAAACATTGTTGCTTGCTGTCATGAATTAAATTAGGAATGTTCAATTCTCGGAAAATTCAAGCGGGCGCTTCTCGCCTCGGCGGTACGTCTCGCTGTCGCCAGTTGTGCCTAATGTCTGGCGAAGCACGGCCTGCGAAGAGTGATATTAACATTGTCATAGATGTTATTTCCAGACTCGTCAAAAAGTTCCTGTGGTCAGTTGAAGAGAAGCTATGCACCTGCGGTTGAGACAGTCGGCATCTGACGTAAACGTAATGTTTTGATTCAGGAGAAAGTAGTTCCGGCACCTTGTTTATATCAGTCACTAGTGACTGATATAACTTTTTTTATATCAGTAACTAGTGACTGATAACTTGATCTATCGTCACTGATAAATTCCAGTATTTCATTCATATGTATATAATAAAAGGCTATACGGAATGAGGTTATTTGATCCTACGCACCAGTGGGTAATTAGCGTGACTAGTTTGACTGCCACATCTTCCCGAGGCAAGAGAGTTAACTGACTATAAAAGTCCAGTTTCCACCCTTGCCGAATTAGGCTGGCATTATGGAGTTAGATTTTGGCTGGACTAACGAGTCTCTGCATAGTCCATTCAAAATCGCGCACCGAAATCGAAATCCGGTTCGTAAACTGTCATGCAGAGTTCGGTCGATTGCAGGATTTGCAAAGCATGTGCATCGTCAACTCGTTGTCAACAGATATTTTCCAAATCTTTTCAAGTTTTTAATCAAGGTGCTCACGTGATTTGATGCACTTCGCGATGTAAGACCCGTTTTATCACAATATAGATCTTGATTGTCGATCAGATAGTCTTGACTGGGCGCCGCCATTTCGTTTGAAGTAAATGGAAGTGATACGAGAGGTGGAATTTGATTAATCCATAGGAGAGGCATACAAGGGACATAACTCGTAACAGCCACTGGTGGCGCTTCTATCGAGCCCAGCCTAGTTCGACAAGTGGGAAACTAGACTTTTAAAGTCAGTTAACTCTCTTGCTTCGGGAAGATGGACTGCCAGGTCTACATGGCTGTAATGGTCAAAATATTTATTTCGATTTCCTGTCAGTTTGATAGCCCAATTGGTTAAGGAGGAATAAAACCTGGGGATTTAATATTTAGCTCAAGTGCCACCATGATAACCTTAAAATAAGGGAGATGACAGCTGATGAGTATATTATATATTATAATCACCACTTGGTCTGTGCAGATGTTGAAGTTTTGTAAGGTCTAAAGTAATGGTGAGGCACATTTATTCACTTATTTCACAATTCATGAATGAGAATTGGTTTTGGATGCATCTTCTCAATTCTCTAATCCCTAATTCTTAATAAGTTAGGTTTTATTGCTGGTTTAGACTTGGCTTATGGCATTATGACCTAGAATTAAATTTTTGTTAATATAAGTTTAAGTATTCTTTTGGCCATAAAGCACGGACCTAAATAATTATAATTAGGTCCATGGCTAAAGTTATCATGAAAGTGTAGTAAATATCCTGTTTATTAAGTGCACTTAAGGTATTCTTTTTGCACACTTTATTGGGCTATTTTTGTATTTTTGTGGATTTCCAAGTATGTGCTGTAATTAACATTATTGCCAAATGTACATGCCATTCTGAGGTGTGTGTGTGTGTGTGTGTCTGTGTGTGTGTGTGTCTGTGTGTGTGTGTGTCTGTGTCTCTGTGTGTAGCTGCTTGTACTAGTCCGTACTAATTTGATAGTACTAGCCCACTGAGATACCGCAGTTTAACATGCATAACCCTGACTTCGAGCCAACCAGTCCTTGTTTTAATCCATTAATGCCGAGCGCCAGGTAGGGTAACAACAAATACCATCTTATAACGTCTTTTGATATGATGGCCCGGGGATCAAACCCCGACATTCCGCTCTCCTCAGACACTCTACTACTGGACCACGGAGGCGTCACATGCCATTGCGACGTGAACAAGCTCAGTCTTGTGTAACGTTGCTGTATTATGAAGTAAATGCGTTAACTTAGGGAAATACATAGCCATATACTAATGAAGTTCTCACTGTTGCAGTCACCCTAATGTTTGCACTTCATGTAAAACAAGAATCAAGAAAAGGAATAAAGACTCAAGAAAGTCTGAATTTCATGTTTTTATCAACAATGGGCTCTGGGAGCCTACAACGTGTTGTTGCCCCCTTCCCCAGCAGAGAAATTGTAATGGTCTCACGTTGTAATCAGCGAGTGAGTCATAAAAAACAATCACAATTCGTCCAGGTTATAGAATGACAGAAGTTGTAGACAGGGGGAACTCTTACTCTCTATCCTTTTATCAGAAAAAGTAAGAAATAACAATGATAACAATAACATGATAAACTCATTGAAGGGAAAGAATAATGAAGACATTATATTAATATTCACGGTTTTAGCCAGAGCAATAGCTCGTACAGAGGACATGCTGGATGTATGAAACACAATGTGATGTGACCAAGTGTCAACCTGGGACATTGATTCTGTGTAAATAGAGTAACCACAAGACTGATATACATTGTGACATTTAAGTTTACGAGCAACCAATATAGGTTTTGATTACTTGAATCAAACACGCTGGCATTGTCAACTGACCCGAGCCGTGTCCCCCTTTAGAGTTTTGGGTTGAGAGACGAGTAATAAAACGTGTACATAAAGATGACATTTAGCCAGGAATCTGTGTGTGGTAGACACATTCACCCCTTAAGTTCTTGAAGTTGATAAAGATGAAGTATATGCAGCTCTCGTTGTCCTTGCAGGACAGAGCACATTCCTCCATAGCATCAACCAGTCCCCTAGAGAGTACTTGCCCGCTGATTCCACGCCTTTCAAAGACACATTCTGGGTAGCCACCTGCAAACATGCAATATATAAAGTAACTTGGGCTATACAATACGTATAGAGAAACTAATTCGTCATCATGTGCAAATTATATTAATAATTGAAGTACAGTTTGAGAATAACCTTCGCAAGCTTCGTGGAATCCTGCATTTTCAGCTCCGTTTGGTGATCACGTGACAAAGGGCACGGAAAGGACATCATGGCTCGCGTCGAGTGATCTGCAGATACGTATATGTACCCATGGCTCCGTATATCATGATGGCGTCTGGATTAGTATTCGAAATAAACATCTCCCTATTACCAGCTGGTTACTGAGAATGTTACAGAGAATGGGAGTCAAGTGGTGTGCAGACGGCTTGGATGTCTCCTGCTGGATAGAGTGTCCTGTGTCACATGATTGGCAAGTTAGTACGCGGGAGATGTCGCACACCTCAATATTACGGATTATCTCTCCCGAGTTCAGAGAATCGGAAATCTAGCATCGTGGCAACTTGGTTTCAAATTGGGATATATAATGAAATGAAACCTTAGAAAATAGAATCCAATGATGTAGAGTTATCGTCATTACATGATCTGTGGGTATTAAATTAAATACAAGGAAAAAGACTCGAGCATATTAATTGATTATTGGGAAGCTGGAAAAAAAGACATTTAACTTTAATGGGTGAGATGACAGTTATTAAGACTCTGGCTCTTTCAACATTAGTTCATATAGTTTTCAGCACTTCCAAACCCACTCGATGATTTTATTTGAAAATTTAATAATCTGTTTTATACATTCATTTGGATTAACAAACCAGACAAGATAAAACAGTTCTACGTTGATAAGGAAATATGAAGAAGGTGGTCTGAGAATGATGTATACCCGCAAATTTATTGATTCATTGAAATTATCAAGTTTACAAAAAACGATTTAGTCAACATTAAAGAACTTTCAATCAAAACAGATATTTCTTTTGGGTGCAAATATTGATAGGTTTATTACTTTGAAAAATCCCTTTTGGGGGGATATATTGAATATTTGGGGTAATTATTACAGAAAGCATAAAGTTAACAAACAAGGTATTAAAGACATTTTATCAGAGCCAATATGTTTCAATCACTAATTTAAAAATAATTTCGTTTTAAAACATTGGTTTATTAAGGGTATTCATAGTTTAAAAGATTTATGCAACAACAGATTTTTAACATTTGAAGAATTACAAGACAAATTAAAGGTACTTTACTTGACTACAACAGAGTAATGCTAAATATCCCTAAATCATGGGAAAAAGGCAATAAATGGCAGATTTTGTATCACAGCTAATTTATACATAAATAACATTTTAAGAGACTTGTTGATAAGAACAAAGGGCTCCAGAATATTTTATGATAAACTCATAGCTACAACTAACTTTCCTCTGATGTGTGGTAAATGGGAAAATGAATTTAATCAAAGCATTCTACGGAATAATGTTTTCACAAATTGTAAAATGTGTACCGATGATGTTAAACTAATATATTTCCAGTACAGATTCATAAATAGAGCTCTATATACAAAAAATGAATTATTGAAAATGAAGTTAATGGATGATGATATATGAGCTCTTTGAATCTCTGAATCTGAAAACTTATTCCATGTATATGTAGAATGCATTTTTGTAAAGGGATTTTGGTTATAAACTGATGTGTACCTAAACTCGAAACTTGCATATGATATTCATATTACCATTCCAGATAAATTATTTTGCTACAACAAAAACAACTATCTTTTCAACCATATAATTCTTCTTGCAAAAAAATACATTCACCAGTCGAGTATTAAGAAAACTCCATTTTGCTTTCCTTTCTTCATAACAATATTGAAAGATGTATGTAAAATAGAAACATTGATCGCAATAAAAAATAGTAGTATTAATAAATTCGACAAAAAATGGATGGAATTATCAGCCTACTTAATGTAATTTATCAGTCAATCCAATATATGTATGTACCCATATCTGATCATGTTTTACGATTCTATGAATTGTTACACTTATATACCTCATGTATCAATGTTACATTTATGTCTACTGAATTGAAATATGAATATTTAAAAAAAACAAGAAAAAAGTAGTGGTTTCGTTTCGTCCATCGGAATATATACACGACGCCCAAAGGTTGTGTGAAGATCATATTTTCACCCTGCACATGCAGCATGGGCCTATTTGGGAAATTTGACTTTTGGAACTCTATTGTTATTACCACAGCTTGATATTTTATAGTGCCATTGAATTTTGTATTGCCACTGTATTGCGTACTGCCATTGTAATTACTTTGCAGTAATTTGTATTGATTTGTAAACTTAGTTAATTGTCAAGACAATTGTTAATTGCATAACATTTCTTTGTTGTTTCGGGGCTGACGGGTAACCTAGCGTTTAAAGCGTCCCGCCGAAGACCCGGGTTCGATTCCCGACATGGGTACAATGGGTGAAGCCCATTTCTGGTGTCCCCCGCCGTGATATTGCTGGAAGATTGCTAAAAGCAGCGTAAAACCAAACTCACTCACTCACTCTTTGTTGTTTCTTGGTTCACACTGAATTTTTTTACATTTCTGGGTTAACTAATTGTTTCAATTTGGAAGTCGACAAGTACCGGGTATGTCCACATCGGGCATCGTTCACAGCCTACCATCTACCAATAAACGCAATCCGAGTCATGAAAGTGTTCCTTGGAATGTTTTGCTGCTCTTCCTAAAGTCCATGGACTTGGTAAGGGAACGTTTGTGGTGATGGATGCCTCTGACGGACGCATGGGTCAAGGACATCCCAAACGTGTTCGAACAGGGACAGATCTTGTGGTCGGCCTGGCCAGGGGAATTTTTGAACGTTGCATCTTCGGAGGAAGTCCTGGCATGCCCGGAATATATGGCGTCAGGCATTGTCTTTCCGAAACCCTCCTTTATTCGGTTCATAAACAATATAACGTTCGAACACTCCATCTCTGGTGCAAACCCAGTCAAATTACTTGCAATGTTCACAAGATCTGTTCGACCATCATAATGGATGGCCCACACCATCACGCTCCCGCCGCCAAATCCATCTTCCTGCTAGGGATGTTACATTCATGACGTCAACGGCAGCTCGTCTCAACACATCTCCCCGAGGCAAGGGAGTTAACTGGATATACAAGTCCAGCTTCAACCCTTACCGAACTAGGCTAACGTTTCGTGGCTCGATTGTAACGCCACCAGGTTATACCCGTTCTATGTCCCTCCTATTGACCATCAGATTCAACCTCTCATGTTGCATTTGCTTAAAAAGAAATGGCGGCGCCCAGTCGAGATGATCTTATCGATAATCAAGATCTGTATGGTAATAAAATATATCTTACCTCGGGAAATGCATCAAATTTCTTTAGCACGTTGATTAAAAACATGAAAAGATTTTGAAATTATCTGTCGACGCCCAGGTGGGTTTTCTTCAAACATCCAGCTTTGATATAACAGGTACTGTTCAAAGCAGCTTAAGCCAAACTCACTCACTCACTCACTCCCTCACTCACTCCTGTAGAGAAATGCTAAACCAACTGTTCAGCCTGCTTTCGTTTTTCAACATGAAACATATCACAAGTTACTTTATCAGAAATTGTGGTTAAACAATATAATCAGAATGCATCTATAATTGTATCGTCAACCATACCTCGGTTTGATTCACAGAATCCCAGTTCGGTGGAATTCCTTTTTGTGTACCTCACGATATATAGCCACTTTGGGAGCAAGTCCAGGGTTTCTGTGTGGAAACAAAGATATCTGTGTTAAACCCAATCTCATTAAAATCGCATCTTTCACTCTGATACGATACCTTACTGCATGGGACTCTGACAACTCATCCATTAGCAATGGCGTCAGGTGTTCTTTCTAATTAGCAAAGCACAATGTATGCTTCTCAGTTTTCGGTACGAGTGAGGGAAGCATATACAGAAAACATTGCTGATGTTACATTGTCTGGAATATTGCATGTACTCTGTCCTTTCTGAGCGCCATGGCATATATTCCCAGAGGTGAATGCAATCAAAGGAATATCTATCTTCTGTTTTCCTTTTGGTAAAATCGCAATTTCTGAAGCTAGACGATATAGAAATGAAAACAAATGGTTCAAGCGTCGAAATCTGACAAGATAAAAGAATCTACGCATCCTTCATTTAGATGGGGGCGATCCAAGTTCGCTCAGTCGATGTCACAAGTTCACAACAATGGCCCATCGCGGACACGCGACCTACCTTCACCGTCACACAGCAGAGCCTGGCTAGCGTTGCATGCGGACATGTCGTAGATGAAAGGACTATGGCTGGGGTTCATCACGACACATTTCATTCCTTGTGATAGATCTGGTTGCCCATCCCGCCACGTTAGAACTCCAGGGGAGTGTAGAATCTCCCCGTCTCCCCACTGGAACTTGCTCATACTAGCGTTATAGTGAAGCCCGGTCCAGAGGTTGACGTTCCTGCAAAGATTTTATTTCTTAAAGACAAGCGTTATAGCGAAGTACGTACTGATAGCCAAAAATCTGCAGTGTATTGTGATGCATCCCAGTGACTAGCGTTATAGCGAGCCCCGCTCCAGTAACCCGAGATTCTGCCATACATTGTGATGCTTCCTACAGACTAGCGTAATAGTGAAGCCGCTCCAACCCTGGTACTGCCATGAAGTATGATGCATCGAGAGCATTTCAAATGTAGCGTTATCCCTCTGTGTGTATACTCAAAGTCACACTGATCCTCTTCATATTTTATCATATCGCAACAATGCCATAACGCGACATTTTTAAAACTTTGACGAGTTTTGAATACTATACTCCACCACAAAAAGACGCATCAGAAAATTACAAAGTCAAACTTTGCATGTGCCAGTTACGTCATTATCTCAAGCACGGCAGTCGTCGGAATGTAAGAACTGGTGACAACAACGTATACCTGTTCCCTAGACATGAACAAGATCTGTTCTTCACCCATGAGAGATCATGGCTCACGTGGTGACACTTCCTCCGCCGAACTGTAGACTTCCTGTACGCAACATCCGGTAAAACATTCCTTCGCTGATAAACACAAATCCGCACTTCTCTCTGTTGGAGAAATACATTTATCACATCGTGTGCTTAACCCTTGAATTATTGTCATAGCTACCACGTATGCGTTGCTTTTTAGAGCATATTTTTAGTTATTACCAAAGGGCATTAATGCAATATTTTAGCATTTCTTCATGTCGTCCTATCTAAATGTGTCAAACAGGGTTAATATTCACATCGCATTGTCAGTCTTACATTTCTCACAGTATGTTTTTAAAATTTAAACAAAGCGTGACCTGTAATTAAGGAGTTAACTTTGTGGATCTTAGAGGGTGGATCTTACCTCGGGAAGATGTCTACCGGTATGTATGGGAACGAGGTTATTGTCGATTTGAGTGAGCAAGCGAGTTTGAATTAACGCCTCTTTAACAGTATTTTAGTCATGTCACCACATGAATGCCATTGTGAGGTATGTGTGTGTGTGTGTGTGTGTGGGGGGGGGGGGGGGGGGGGGGGGGGGGGACGGGTCGTTGGGGTGAAAGTCGGGACGGAGGAAAACCCGAATTGTTGCAGGTTTAATGCGAAACCCACAAGCATAAGTCATATTCGAAGGTTTCTTTCACGTCTAAGTAACGCAATTATACACAGCGTCAGTGAGATATAATGCCGCTTATAATTAATTGACGTGGTATAACCTTTGGTAAAACATATAATAGAATCCAACCAACGACATTTGATTAAACGGTCATATGTTGCTCTTCCACAAAGTCGCAGTTTAATGTTAATCTTGACCTGGATTTGTCCTTTTTAAGTTTCCCTTTTTCCTTTGAAAAATCAAAGTTTTTAAAATGGGTTTTCACTTGCATTGGCGTTCTCAATTGTTTCATTTGGAATGAAATGTTTCCTTTCTCTGAAAGAGTTGTACACGAATAACAAATTGTCATTAATTTAAAAGGGAACGACATTTTGAGTGGTGCAATAATGGTGCCACGCTCAAATTGGTTTGCTGCATACACAATTGGAAGACTAGTCATGTAACTCTTCAGTGCGTGTGGTAATGGTGAGTGGGTTTCAGCGAAAAACTACAGTTGAACAATTATAATCTTAACAATCTGCATGAAAAGGACACAAATCATTAATTACTATTATATAATGTAACCGTCCGTTTTAAGCCTCACTGTTCACGATCACTTCTGTACTTTGTTTCACTATTTATAAAACTCATCATTTTATATTAGGTTTCATTGTTCATACATCTGATAACTTAGTTTTATTTCCCTGTTTATACACATTGCTTCCGCATCAGGTTTTATTTTCTATAAACTCACCCCTAATGTACTATAGAACGGAATGCACTGTTCACAATTCTCTATGTTTCCATGCTAAGTTCCAATCTTCACACTTTTCCATACGTGTTCCCATGAAAACTCAAAATATATTTGTTAAAAACCCTAACAATCAATAGGAACCAGTTCAAAACTGGACCTATCTATATGTCAAGTTTTGTGAAGAAATATTTAAGGTATCCAATATCTGCTACGGAAACTAGCACTACCCCCTTTTTCAGTCTAAGTAATAGACAACTCGAAAAGCTACTTTTTCAAAAATCCCGGACTATCATCAGAAATGTACGGTTTTTAAGATCTGCTCCGGAAAAGAGCACTACCGCAATTTGTTTCAAAGAATGAATCTTTTGAAAATCAAAGACTCCAGTTTACCACAAGACCAATCTAAGCGCCACGTTTGGTGAAGAAATAGTGTATGTTTCTCAAGATGTACTCCAGAGTCTACATCTTGCACGGACGGGCGCACGTTATATTTACATTTGAGTGAGTGAGTGAGTGAGAGTTAAGATTTAACGTCACATCGGCAGTATTTCAGCCATATCATGACGATAAGTACATTAATAATACATATATTTATACAATATAAAAAGCTATCAACGATGGACAGTACAATAACTAGAATATCGCAGAGTCTATTTAAAACTAGTTGAGAATACATAAAAGTCATAAGTATTAGTGAACAACACAATATAAAAATGGGCTAGAGATCGTCAGTAACTTAAGGGAGATCACCATACTAGGGACCATTGGGACTTACAGTGCCTTTGCTTCCTGCATGGACCCCGGCAGTATTTATACCTGCCCTTCAGTCACTGGCGACAGTGTACTAATTAAGCCAAAGATTAAAATGACGAATATTCTACCTTTAAAAGCCTGGCATGCAGAAAATACTTCTAATGATATGGAACTTACATACCCTCATAGGGGGAAAATACTTTTACGCTACTTCAACCTCCCTCGAGGGTACAGCCACTCACAATCTAAGTTATTAATTAGCACTACCAATTTATATAATAATACATTCAGTTCATCAAAATTTATGGACATGTTCGATTTCTTTTAAAAAGCTTAATATTAAATGAGAATTAACATCATTAAAAAGGTCCTAAACTGTTGGACACTGAAATATTTATCCCTTGTGATGGAAAAATGAATGCAGTCAAGCAGGACATGCGTGACCGTGATTCTTTCATCACAAGGGATACAAAACGAAGGATCCTCACCTTTTAACAAATACTCATGTGTATATCTAGAATCGCCAATACGACATCGTCGCATAATGACCTCTTCAAATCTGGACTGACAGCCCAAGTAGGTGTAACCTCATATTTACATGTAACATAGCTAAACTGAAAGCATTATTGTTCCATCTCGTTTCAATCAGATCTTTCACTCCGATAGATATCTCTGTGCATGATGATCAAAGGAAACCCACACAGTCACGTTGTGTACCTGCCGTTACCGTAAACACTCATCCGTTTTGTCGTTTGATAAGTCTTTCTATATATCACTTCTGGGGGCTACGGTTCGTTCCGCCAGAAAAGTATACCAATGTGCGCTGCAGCATTTACAACGCACTTCTCCATCTTCTATTGTCCCCAAATCATGAAAACAAACTACACATCAATCTTTTCCTTAAACAGTTACCTTCAGACAGTTATACTTAATTATATTAATGTGAACTTTGAATGAAGATTCCAGATCGGAAACAATATCCAGTGGTGTTTTCATTTGAACTGCTATCTTCATTTCCACACCCGTGCTAAAAGTATGAGAGTTGCGTAACAAAAGGGGCATGGGTGATTCATGCGTTTGAGAAGCCACAGGCCAAGATTTATGTCCCTTAGGTGTATCATGATGACTGATCGATAGTTCGCTGATAATTATTATTTGGTTTGTCAGCAGTGAAACCCTGCCCGTGGGTTTCACCAAACAAGTAAACGTCAAAGACCTGCTTCAATTTGAGCATTCCTCCTACCTAATTCACAAAACCAATGCCGCTTTGAAGTATTTCATGGTCAGTCAAGCTTATGTGGATGGAAAGGCTGATGTGACCCAGGTTTACTAATTCGATGGAAGCCACAAGCACAGGCACCCAATGTTGACGGCAGTTTGACAGGTTTTTGAGCACCATGGCATCTCAGCCCAAAAGGGTGTCCCATGGAAGGTATGTTTGTATCCTGTTGTTTTTTAGATCAAGATTTCCGAATAGAGGTGGAGAAGAAATACAACTGCCTCGTTTTAGCAAGCTGACATCCGATTGGATAAAGACCCCATGCATCCTCCATTTAAATTGGTGGTCTAGGGTAGCGCACAGGTACACCTGATACGACATTATATGGAGGTTGCTCAGATCTTCAGGAAGAATGGAGACAAATCTTATTTGATGAGATTTGATTGAAGCCACCACCAGCGATCAGGGTGGAACTCAGTACACTGAAATGTGCCGGCTTAGACGACTTGGCCCTCCTTATTAAAGAATACCATTTACTCACCTCTCTCCCATGTAAGCAGAGACCAGCCTTTGGGTTTCATTGGTTTTGACGTTCACCAGCTTAAGACCGTTTTGCTTGCAAACATATACTGCAGCTTCGTATTTAACCTTGGGAGGAAGGAAGAAATATTCTCCTGAAACTAAGAACAAATAGGGAATGTGACATCTTGATTCCTTAAGTTTGTTTGTTTGTATTTTAACGCCGCGCTCCAGCAATATTCCAGCTGCATGGCGGTGGTCTGGAGATAATCCAGTGACTTACATCATGAGCATCGATCCACGCAATTGGGATACAATGACATGCATCAACTAAGTCAGCGAGCCTGACTACCGCATCCCGTTAGTCGCCTCTTACGACAAGATTTGCCGTCTTTTGCGGCAAGCATTGGTTCCTGAAGACCTATTCTACCACGGATCTTCACGGGTCGATTCCTTGTGTAAATAAGATAATAGTGATATCTGCACAACAGGCCAGCAGGGCAAAGCACGATCAAGCCGTTACAATACGAAGTTAGTATTCAGCTCTGAGCCGTTTGACCAATTCGGATGTTTTACAAATCAAAGATCTTTTGACCTTTGACCCACATGGAACGCGAATGTCACAACAACTTCATGAATCAAATGCCACTGGGAACGAGTTCTCTTTGTGTGTGTCTGATTTAAGATGTGCCAGAAAGTACTTTTTCTTCAGGGTTTCCAATCATAACCTAATTACTCACTGATACACGCCTGCTGCGCATGCCTGGAACAAAATGCTGTTGTCCGGCTCCTTCCTTCAGAGACAAATACTGTAATACCGTGTATGTCAGTGCTGACCCGTTCCACAAAACGATCATGGTGCTCGACTGCCTAAGTCTATGTTAAAGTTTGGGAGATACGATCGTCTTGACGCTCATATCGCTTTGTGGAACCGGGCCATGGAATATTAAATGGTTGGTTCCATGTACAAGCATCGACTTTGACATTCAATCTACCAACTGACGAATTATGATCCACTTTAATTAATACCATCTGGTATAATATATGTGATCATAATGTTATATATGTTTAAGGAACATATTTCGACAGGTTGATGACGTTGTCAGAGGCTATACAAAATAAGAAATGTAAATGGACTTTGGTGCACATATAAATTATTTGGCCTTGTTATCTATTATGACGAAACGCAAGATCCAATCAAAGGATACATCTCTAGTACACGAACACTTCTATCTAAACGTACTAATTAACCAATATTCCAGGCATTTTACACGGATTACGTGGGACTAGTGGTGAGTTATCTTTCCATATTTTTTGGATGTGTTTGTACAATGCAATATCCATTCAAATGCACTTTGTACAACATACGTCTTTATAAATGCACGTAATTCGGAGGTTATGTCAGGTATTCTTGACATCAAGTGAATATGGAAACCACTTAGTATTACCGAGATGACATTGCATGGTATAACACTATGGAAGCCTCAAAGTGCCACATGCAAAACATAGTTTGGTCCACTGTTCTGTTACCGTATAAGGAAATAGTGCCACATGCAAAGATATGGTCATCCCTTCGTGGGAGAAAAGAAAAGCAACCATATATATAGGAGATAGAAAGTCAGAATGTTGTAAATATGGTGATGACGCAGAAGGCAATAAGTAATGTACATTAAGAATACATTTGGAATGATAACTTCAGTGTTTCTGTTTCTAGATAGTTTACGATCTACTGTGTTATTAGATCATGTGCTGTTAGATGTTGATGAAAATGAAGAACGATTTTGTAAAAGTTTTTTTGAATCTGCTTATTGTATGAAATAAATGTGCATCAAATAACCATGATACACCCAATTGATGTATATCAGATGGTGACTAGATCTGCGAAACGTGCGTGCAGGGGAGCACTTCGACAGTTTAGACGACATAGAAATTAACATTCCAGAAAACAATATTGAACTGTTAGGAACAACTATAACTATGAACATGTCGGAGGTATAAATTCAAGTTCGCCAACATAAATGTAAAGATTATGGATATATCTGGGTAACCCTACAACATTTTGGAAAGAGATTCGAAATATTAATTACGAAATAATGAAAATCACGTGACAGCACAAAAGTCACACGACACAGCACAAGTTAACCTCAGCTCAGTCGCAGCTCTTTCCTATCAATTTTCAATTTATTTTTATTCTTATACAATGGCAGATTGAAACATGTTGGCAAGATACATTCACAACTTTTTATGTAGAAGATGAAAGTCGTACGAATGAGAAATACTCCTGTTTTCAGGAAGATTTATTTGCATGTGACACGTCCAGGCTTCCACAAACCACCGATATCCTGGACATTTTAATAAGTCCCGATACATATGTCCATATACACGTTTAACAATATTTGGTTTGGTTCAAAGAACAACCCCAGCCTACCTGTAAGTGACAGCGAAATGAAGACCAGTGCCTTCAGCAACATCATGGCTGCCGTCTCACGCAAACACCACCGGTCGACAAGGACAGATCCGATGTTTCCATGACAAGTAAACGTCTGTATGACAACTTTAGAAAGCAAATACTTTGTAAAAGTGTCGCTCTTTTGTGTCTGTCTCGGCTTAATGCGTTCGCAATTATCGATGGACCCAGTGGACAGCGTGCAATTCCCGCTTGAGCCTATTTTACACATGTGTGACTTCTTTTCGAGTAGAAAGTGCTTTTAAATAAATGAAGACAACATATATTGGCTTCACACTGAGATGAAAGGAGGACTAGTTCCAGTCCGATAAACATATAAACTATTAAACTGGCATATATTGTGTGAGACTGTGTGTAGCAGTGTTATACCTAGAAACTTGAACTTGTCTGTAAACCCGAAGATCCCCTTGATAGTAAAATGTAGTTTCCAGCGATATCTACAGATCTGAAAAGGTTGAATGTATGAACGTAATCACTATTATACGAATTCAGACTTCTGCGAAAACGTTGTTTTTCATATCATCATCAATACGGTATCGGTAAAGGCTTTCGCTCGTCACGCCGAAGGTTCGATCATTCACATTGAGTATTATGTTTGAAGCCCATACCTGGTGTCCCCGCCGTAATAATGCTGGAATATTGCTGGAATATTGCTAAAAGCGGCTTAAAACCACACTCATTCAGTCACGAGTTTTTGTATATATTACAGTCGTTTTGTAAAATCAGTCTGAAAATTCTTCAAAGACAAAACGGTTTATATTTCAGTTATAATTTTCAAATTGATTAAAAAAATGTCCTTTCATTTATTATGATAACGAATCATGGGCAATGAGTTTGATGTTTAATTTCATCACCTGCACACAGTGACATTAAATTGTTGTTATTTTCTGACTACTAATCCCAGCATGAGCCTTTTCAACTTCTTTATAATTTTAGTCATTCTGTGCCCCTTGTTGCCCCGCCCACCCCAATCTTTGCCGCCTATGGTAAGCTGTTGAGGCCACACCCTTCACAGGACACCTTGTTTTCAGGCGGGTTTTAACGGCAGATGTTGAAATTCCTACTATTGAATGGCATTCTCTATTGATTCCAGGAGCAGATCTGAATCTATTGTCATTAATGTACTGAGTCCATCTTGTCTAGGTGTCGTTTTGTTCGGCCTGCCATGCCCTGGTCTCATTGCAACCCCACCCGTTTGACGGTACATGTCGCACAGTCGGGAAATTATACCTTTTGATTTGGCAAACATTCGGGCAACTAGGGATAATGAAAACTGTGTGTACGTGCACAAAGAGCTGTTCATACATTATTTGAAATTTCATTGTGATGAGATGCTGCGCTCAGATGCAACGCTACGGTTTTGTAAATGTACACTGCAACGATAGCTAGATTCACATCATCAGTTCCCTTTTTTTGTCAAAACAGGTTGAAAGGCTGTAGTGTGTAGAGCCAAAATCGGTCTTTTTATCCACCCGAAAGGAACCTGACAAGTAACGCTGCACACTCTGCCCCGTACACCCACATTCGTCACCACTCGCCCCTTTCCGTAACCTGCAAGAAGACCCGTCCCCCATCGATGAATGTTATGTGCGAAAATATGACAAAACCAATCAGAATGCGCGTATGACTTCAAGTACTTCGGTCAAAGAATCCCTCAGGAATATTTTTTGGTTTCACACATGTCTTGCATAAAAAAATATACCCTGGATACAGTTAAATGTGTTCAATCATACTATACAAAAACCGTAAGCCCAGATGTGTTTAAATAGTATCTGGAATCTATATATTCATCTATATAAGACATGGCCGAAATATACGTGAATCATTACGCAACGAGTTGACAGTTCTTTCAACTATGCCTCTTTGCGCTTGGGCGGAACCCTCAGTGAGTACACGCTATTCCTCTCAGAACACGATCGCCAATTTCTAGTCCTCTTTGGTGACGCATAGTCATTGTAAGCTGGGGCTATATTTGACCAGTCGACCTCGCTACCTCATGACCGTCACGGCATTCCAGCTTGCAGTTGACATCCATGAACGCCTCGCCAGACGGGAAAACAGCTGAAAACTGCTTCTTTGTACTTTGATCTGTTTGGTTTTGAGCTAAAGGTTAACTCCATATGTATTTTTAGCAAATTCAATGACCATTTGTAGTTTGTATTTTCAATGCTAGCCACTCTAGTGCATGTGCCCTCGTTTCTTTGTTTATAGTCATGATGGAACTATACTGAACCAAATTAAAAACTTCACAATCCTAAAATTTTAACATTTTGACCAGTTATCATTGTGGGCCCTTATTGTGTATTTAAACAGTAATGGCCACGTATTGTCTTCAGATAACACCCGTTTTTGTGCAGGTGAATCGATCAAAATCATGTGCACAGCACTATAGTGGCAAAAGTGGTTTTTCACGTGCAACTGGTCACGTGGCCATAATACCGCACGTGTTGTCAGCCATACTTGTCAGCAGTCATTATCAAAAAAAGAAAAACACAAGAAAACAAAAGTCTTTACGGCCATTTGTCATGCCACGCCTTTCAAATGTGCAACGTGAACGTGCCATCGGCATGTTGCAGATGGGAACGTCCGTAGCTGAAGTCGCAAGGACGATGGGTTGTAGTCGACGGACTGTTTATGATTTACAGACGCGTCTACAGCAAACGGGTACCACCGCTGACCGCCCTCGGCCAGGTCGACCACGTGTGACGTCACATGCAGAGAAAAGTCAGATTGTCTTACGTCACCTCCGTAACCGATTTTTGACGGCTACATCAACCAGAAATGAACTGTTTAGGGGTAGACTGAGTGCGCAAACTGCGAAACCGTCTGAGAACTGCTCACCTTCATGCACGACGGCCATACTGCTGGCCGATTCTGACTCAATTACGTCAACGTCAATTGTGGGCACAGCGATACTTACGATGGACTCAGAGGAATTGGAATCAAGTCGTCTTCAGTGATGAATCCCGATTTAATCTTCGATTTGCTGATTGTAGGGCGAGGGTGTGGAGGCGCCGTCTTGAACGTTACGCCCAGTGTTGTGTACAGGAAGTTCATGGTGTGGGGTCATGGTGTGGGGTGCTTTCTGTGGCAATGCACGTTCCAGGCTTCTTGTCATCCGTGGCAACCTCAACGCTGCTGCTTACCGCGACCAGGTACTGGCACCAGAACTTCTGCCTTTTATGGCAGCACATGGACCCAGCTGATCTTCCAACACGACAATGCCAGACCCCACACAGCAATTTTGACAAAGAATTTCCTTCAGAATGCGGGAGTCAACGTCATGGACTGGCCGTCAAGGTCTCCCGACCTCAATCCCATCGAACACGTCTGGGATGCTCTTGGCAGAAGTCTGCGCACTCTCCAGAACCAACCACAGAATTCGCAAGATCCTGGCACCATTTTGCAGCACCAATGGCGTCGTCTTCCCAATCATGTGTTCACAAGCATCATAAGGTCCATGCGGAGTCGTTGCGTGGCAGCTGTCACCGCATATGGTGGCCATACACGCTACTGAACTCTTGTGCCATCAGATTCTCGTGCTTGGGACTTATGATTTAAACTGTTGATGTTATTACCGAATACCGTAGGTGCTTGGAACAAGTTATGGTTACCACCGTTAATTAAAATCCTTCTTTGGACATTAATGATTAAAAATTACCTTCTCTGATACATTTGTCCGTTGTATATCATATATGGGATTACTTTTAAAAATGTGAAGTTTTTAATTTGACTCAGTATATATTTTCCAAAAGTTGTTGTATACAAGTATCTTTTGAATATATCTAATTTAAGATGACATCTTCTAAGTAAGTAATTGTGCCTGGTGTAGTTTTTGTATATATTTGTAATAAATTTCCAGTTTTTGTATATTATGTTATTTTTATGATACATAATTAGTTGTTAGCTTCGTTTAGTTTTATCAGCTATCTATAACACAGTGTGTCTGTCTGTCTATGTAGCCTACTAACTGCCCCTGCACAGAAGCTCTATATGTTGACTGGCCAAGCGTACACCTGAGTTTACTGTTGTTAAACGACTGCATGCTTTGATCACCCTGCGTACTCTCTCAGCACATGACAGAACTGCTCAGATCAAGAATCCGGCGAGTTAAGTGGATATTATCTTTATTTTGTTTTGTATTAAATAATACAGCTTCAGCCCAAAGAATGTCCCAGGCTGTCGAATCCGTTTGTCGTCATAGTAATCATTTAGTTCATCCTCGAAATCATCTGGGATGTCGGCGACTGTGGCTGTTGAGTCGGATCTCTCGCATTCAGCATTAACAAGATCCTCGTACAAACAATCGTCCTCCGATCCGTCCATTGCATTGGCAATCCCACACTTTAGGAAACTTTGCTTTACCATGTCAGCTGGTATTTCTATCCTTACAGACCGCCTCCGTGGTCAAGTGGTAGAGCGTCCGCCCGGAGAGCGGAAGGTCCGGGGTTCGATCCCCGACCGCGTCATACCAAAAGACGTTAAAAGATGGTACTTGTTGTCACCCTGTCTGGCGCTCGGAATTAAGGGGCTAAAACAAGGACTGGTCGGCTCGGAGTCAGTATACTGGGGTATTCATCTTAAACTGCGGCATGGTGTCTCAGTGGGCTAGCCCTATAAATCGGCATCAGTCCGGACTAGTACAAGCAGCCAGACAAACACACACACGTACATGCACGTCGCTATATAAGTGCAACAATCTTGGACGCGACGTTAAACCCCATTTCACCTCACCTCACCTCACCTCTATCCTTACAGTCTTCACCCATTCGGCAACAACTGGTAGCGGTGCCTTTCTTTGTATATTTGTTTTTGTGTATGTTCACCATCCATGTATTCCACGCCCTCCTCACGTTGGCCTTGAAGGGTTTGTTCAGGCTTGTTAAGACTTCAAGTGGCTGCTACAGGGAGGTGCATCCACCGGGGATCACAGTCTGTCGTATTTTGCTGTCCACTAACTTCTTCTTCACTGCTTCACAGAAATGAGCATGGAACAAGCAGGGACTTGCAGCCTCTGGCAACCGGGTCATTCATCCACACATTCTCTATCCACTTCTGTACGAGAGACTCATCCATCCAG